AGCCTTGTCTAATCCTGTTGCGAATATCAAAAAGAGCCAAATCAACTCCTTTTAATTGAAACGTTCGTTGAGAGCATAGAGTATAAGGTCCTGATCCATGTGAGTATGGGTTCTAGAATCCCTATATTGGCTAAAGTATGCTGCATCAAAGTCCAGTCAACCCTGTCAAAGGCTTTTTCTGTATCCATGGACAACAGAAGCATAGGGGATTTTTTAATTAGTTAAAGTTGAAATGTTACACTATAATATTTTATATTCTTCATAGGCGGTATGTGGTGAACATAGCTACTTTTCACATGTCTTCAGACTCCTTGCACCTCTTACAGAAAAATGCCTGTATACAGAGCTCTGTAGCTCAAGCTTAAAAACATAAATACTTTTTTAAATGGTTACATTGACTAAAAACATAATAGTTTCCCTGTAAAGTGATGCAGTTGTAACAATGCCAGTCATGTCTACAGTTCCTCCATGGCATCATGCAACCTTTGATATTTTTTTGCAGTGTACAGTAAACACCTGAAAAAAGTAAACTGCTGTTTATAAGGTTGATGTTTTGAATGCAAAACATGCCCATCTTGTTACATAAGTGAAATGTCATTGTATGAACGTTTACATTAAACTGCATGTGGCCCTTCAGATACAGTCTGACATTTCTGCTTTAAAGAGAACCAGGGAGCATGATCTGGACCAGTATGACAGTTTAATTTTGAATGGGCTACTGTTATAGTAGCAAGACACTACCAACAAAGTGCTATATAAAACAAATAAAAAGCAAGCCACATGTGGAACTCACATAGATGAAAAATTTGGACCTAGAATCTTGTATTGTACAGAAGTGTCTAGATTTTTTATCTAAGTTTTTTTTTCAGAAGCAGAAGGCATGAATATATAAGACACCGTACACCTATATAATACATTTATTCTATATGTTGCAACTGTTAAATCTACTTAATCTACTGCTGAGTGCAGGTGACAGAACACTGTAATGAAGCATTAGACTGGAAATAATAAGTAGGGACAAAGCAAAGGCATCCATTAGCAAAACGTGCCTGAACAAGGACCTTTATGGCAAAATGACCAGGTTTTATTTTCAGTGAAAGATTTTGAAATATTTAAAATTACATATGTAATATTTTATTAAATGAGATTACATATACAGTACTTTAAATACAGCATATTGCTGTTTGTACAATCAATTGTAGACAAGCCCAATCTCTGGCACTTGTCAGAGTTACCAGAAGGCCAATCCAGGTCGAAGAGCACAACCAAATGGTTTAGAAAAAACACGTTTAAATTCTTATTCTTTTTTTTTTTAAAAGCCCCTTTACCTAAATTATTTCTTTTCCTCAAATATGTATATAATCTTTTACCTTGTTAATTGTTGGGGAATATTGTGGCCTTATGTTTTTATACACTTTATACACTTCATAAAAGTCTGCCGTGCCTCAATTAATATCTTGTTTAAAAATAGCATCCAATAAAAGTTTATGCAGCTTTCAAATAAAGCCATTTTTGGGGGTATGTGGTACCAATGTTTATATGTTTTATTTAATGGCCTACAGACTTGCGATCAATTTAAATTTATGGGCGAGAAAGCTTTAAGTGACCTGTAACAAATCTGTTCCCTTCATAGTTCCAGACCAGTACCTGCATACAGAGAACAGGATGCCGTTGATTAACCAGAGATGTGACTGTTAATACTTTTTTTTTTCAGTTCCTCTAAATTTCATGCACTTTGTGAAAGTGCTATGTGACCACGAAGAGCAAAATAGCATTGTAACTTTACAATAACCTAATAGCACTATATGTGTTTTTCACCTAGAGCGCACGTCATTAAAAAATTGAAATTTAAATGTTTAAAAAAGATAAATCTAAATTAGTAAAATGCACAAGTATCAGGAAACAAGAGGAAACAAGTATCCCTGTATAAAAAACTTTTAGACGAATATTTACATATGTATTCAACAATGCAAAGAGCATGGTGCAGTAGCCCATAACAACCAATCAGAATTAATATTTTTGGTGCAGTATGTTGAAACAAGATTGGGTGCCTTGAGTTACTGCAGTTTGTAGGTCAACTTTCTGCTCTTTCCGCAGCCTTATTATGTAACAAAATTTAATGTACAAAGACTACCCTTCTAGTCTTTGTAAAGCTCTTTTAGAAGCTACCTTTAGCCACTTGCCCTCCATAGGATTTACCCCCCTTTCCTGACCAGGCTATTTTTTGTGTTATGGCGCTGCGTTACTTTAACTGACAATTGCGCGGCCGTGCATTGCTGCACCCAAACGAAAATATATGTCCTTTTTTTCCCATGAATTGAGCTTTCTTTCGGTGGCATTTGATCGTGCCTGTGCGGTTTTATTTTTTGCACTATAAAAAAAAAGACTGACAATTTTGAGAAAATGGCCACTTGACCCTGCACTGCCACCAGCTGGCTGTTTATATACAACAGCCGGACGGGAGGTGGTTTAAACATGTCCAGTGAAAAAAAAATTTTAAAAATCAAATTTCATCATAAATTTACACCAAAATGTGTTCTGCTACATGTCTTTGCTAACAAAAATCCCAATATGTGTAAATTAATTGGTTTACTTGAAAGGTATAGCATTTACAAATGGCGGTATATATACTGGATTTTTTTTTTTTTTTACTAGTAATGGCGATGATCAGCGACATATAGCGGGACTTCAGAGGACATTCTGACACTGGGGGGGGGGGGGACTGACTTGGTGTGACTGACATCCCCAGTGACACCAATACAGTTCTCAGTGCTAAAAAAAAAAAGCACTGAAACTGCGCTAATGGCACTGGGCAGGAAGGGGTTAACATGGGGCGATCAAAGGGTTAACTGTGTGCAGGGAGTGTTGTACTAGGGGGCAGTGTCAGTGTGCTTTACTGTAATCACACTGCTCTGGATGGTTGTGCTGTGCACAGCCATCCAGAGCAGTGTGCCTGAGTTGACAGGGAGGAGGACTGTTAGTAAACAAAACAGTCCTCTTCCCCGTCTGAGATCTGCAGAAATCACCAGGTGCCGGCGAGTAATTACCGGCCGGGACCCAGTGATTGGCCACTGTGAATGGCAGCGCAGGTACGGTGCGTGCATGGCTCGCGGTTGCACCCTACCTAGAAATGCAAAATCACATATATATATACGTGATTTTGTGCACCCGTGCTGCCCTCTAGCAATATTTCTTCTATAGGGCGGAAGGGAAGCTGTTAAAGGCACTATATAAAATAACGTTTAATATTATTACCTCTCATTTTTAATGTCCATAACTACCAATTTACAGCCCACCTAATTTTCCCAGGACAAAATGGTTCTTCTTTGAAAGACTTAATAATTAGGGTGATATCTCAGTGTGCAGCAACCAGTTAAAAATCATCTTACACATTGGTTATAACTGTAAACTTCTCAAAACTCAACTAGCTTTAGGCTGCATTCACACTTAGCATATTTGAAATGCGTGTCTTTTTGTGCATTTTTGTTTTACACTACATGCATACGGCAGTCCATTGATTTCAGTTGGTTCCTCCACGTTAGACAACACAGCAAAGTAGCTCTTGAAGACATGGTCCAGTTTGCACATTGTAGGCTCTATGCACACTGGTTTAAAAATTGCTGCTTCTATGGGAGTTTTGTGCTTTGCCTGTATAGGCAGCTCAGGGTTATCCTACATATCATCCATGCACATTAGGATGTTTCAAGGCATATTTTAAGCTCAGCGGCAGAGAAAAAAGCCTTCTGGTTTGCATTTGTGATTGGAGCTTTCTGGCAGAAAAAAACGCTACACTTGCCCAAACTGTGTACAAAAACGCTCTATATCAGCATTTATTTCTGCCAAGGTAACTGGCGTTTTTTTTAATTTTAATCCTAGTGTGCATGCAGCCTTACAATGTTTGTTGGCGTGTTTGTACACAGAAAAACGCTCCTCTGCTTGCAACATTTGAGGTGCTGCTAACAATGAATGATGATTAAAACACGACATGCGTTTTACCACATTTTACGAGTGCACAGGTATGATTGGAGTCTTAAAGTTCCTTATATTGTATATATATATATACAGCTTAAACATGTCAACGCTGGCAGACGCAGACCAAGTTTTTCTCTACTGAAGTTAAAGTAGTATTAAACCCTCAGTGTTTTATAACACATTGAGCACAATAAAATAAGCATTCTACGGTAAACTATTAAAATATGTGCCCCAGCACTTGCAGTTTACAACTTTCAATGCTGGTGGTGCTTGCTATCTAAGTGTTGCTTCCCTGAACTTCCAGTCATCATAGGAAGAGTTAGCAGGGAAGAGTGCAGTCTCCACTGAATGTGATATCTTGGAGGGCGGAGCAGGGTTGTGCCTTGCCACCCTAAGCTAGGGCTTTGTGTTTTTATTGATGCACTCAGTGTAGGGAGACACAACTCTAGTCCATACATGCAAGGGTGACCTCAAAGGATGATGCAAGAGAAAGGAGCCACCATGAAACAGGAAACCTGGTGCAGTGGTCATGGTACAAGCTTAAACTGGAATATAGGCAAGGATTTAGTGATAAAGCTGTGTACTCAGTGAATAAATCAACTGCTGAAAGTGCTTAGAAAACAGAGGGTTTAATATAATTTGAAAGTAATACAGATTGGCGAAGGAGGAGCCCAGCCTGTGAGTAGACAGTGAAGGAATAGGAGCACACTGATGAGGTCTGCTCTGTGTTCTCTATTCCTGTGACTCCGCTCCTTGTGTACTGGTCAGTTTAGTAAAGCCTGGTTGGCTTACAGCGCTGCCCCATCCCCTTCTTAGCCTGTATCATGCTGTGCAGGGAGCTGCTGGACTAATATAAATACAGCCTGAATTGTTACATATACATTTACAGATGTTTCAATAAAAGAATACCTTGATTAAAGTGTTACTAAACCCACAACAGTAAAATCAGTCTGTATATGCAGTAAAGCATGCTTGTTATATTCACTGTGGAACCTAAGGGGTTAATCCTCTGCATTGTGTAAAAAGGCTGTTTGATCCTGTCTTCTCTGATCCTCCCCTTCTTCCAGTGTCCTCCGCTTATCTCCTGATAAGACATATTGTGTGGAGTCACTCTGCACATGTTCAGTTGTGTGTGTATTGCTAGAGAGGGTTTTTTTCTTGGGAGAGTGCATGTGATCAGCACAGGGCCAATCAGCACTGTCCAGACAGAGGTCAGGGGTTCTGCATCCTCCTAGAGCAGAATGAAAACTCCTCCTACAAGCTTTAACCAGCGGTCTGCTGGACACTGATAGAAGTCACAAGACTGCTCTAACTGTTGATGAGAAAAAGGTATTTAGCCATTTATATTTACTTAAATAATTGCCTTTCCATGTTGTGTGTTCTGTGGGAGACCAGATATAGTGAATGCAGGGTCCTCGGTTTAGTAACACGTTAAACGTGTTTTTGAGGGTAAAGAACATTTTTCTTTAGCAGATTTCGTAGATTATGTGGAACATACTAGAGGCAAACCCACATTATGCTGTTCAGTTCTGTAAACAGTTCACTTTGTTGGACGTGTTAGTCCTGCAGCACCTTCAGCCATTTACTTTGTTTTCACAGACTGTTGCAATTATCACACATTTAGGACTATTATTTATATGTGCGGCAATTAGGTAACTAAAATATAACTGAATGCACTTTTAACAGGCCTGTGAGTGACTGCTCGTGGCTGCTGAAACCATATTACATATCTGTTTATTTTCACCGTCAAGATCATTTTTGCTGTATTATTTTACCTGTGCCAGTTTATTTTCTGTTTATACAATTGTGCCTTTCTTTTGCTTCTGGTTTCATCAGATATAGGCAAAAGATTATATATCAGATAAAACCACTAAATGCCAATGAACTGGAGTGTGCAGAATGTTCATTTTCTATCGCTGTGGTATTACAAGTGAATTAGATCCTATTTTTGTTGCTTCTTTCTTATTGTACTATAGTATGCATATGCTATTTTACTTGCTATTCTATTGATAAATTATTGACAATAAAAATGTCATTTAGATTTTTGTTCTTCATCAACAGGAGCTGATAGAGGCTAGAACAACCAAGAGCTGCATAGTAACGTAACACAACATATCAGTATAATAATGGCATGAATCCATGGACTGATTGAGCTCTAATTTTTTATTTTTACCTTTGCTTCTTTTTACAAGAAATCAAATGCTACAAGCAGTGAGAAAGCAAAACAGTTAGCACATAATCCTGGCATACATCTTGCAAAGAATAACAATTAGAGCACTTTTAAAAATAAGCTTGCAGATAGAAGTAAAACTTGTATCTGTCTTTTTTTTTTTAGAACTGCTCTGTGAAGTCTTTTAAGATTCTGTAAGTTCAAATTTCATTTCAATTTGTAAGAGTTGTTTACAGACACAAGGATTGATTTACTAAAGGCATGTAGGCTGTTCACTTTTCTTAGCTTCGCAAAGGCTGTGGAGCTCTGCTGACTTCCATTATCCAATCATGTGCAAGCAACAGTACAGTTTTTTTGTTCCTTGCATGTGATTGGGTATTCTTTGCAAAGTGAATTTTTGATGTATTCACGAAGTTAAGAGAAAATTACCTTGCAAAGTGAACAATCAGTAAATCAATCCCACAGTAGTTTAGGAAAAAATGGATGCTATGAAACAAGGATTGTATGGTTCCATGTGCAAGCATGCTAGTCCAGGATAATCAGGTGCAAAACAGGTATTACCTATTTTAAAGGATAAGTTCGCCTATGTTACTATAAAGCTCCCTCCAACTCCTGACAGCAGATGAGGGGGATCCTCTTCCCGCACCCTTTGTCACATTTTAAAGATTGTGCAGCTGTGTGGAACTCTGCCCGCACAGCCCCATCATTGATTCACTGTGAATGAAAAAACTACAAGTCCCATCTGTCACCACGGCAGACACTCTGTAGCTCCCAAAAAACTGTGAGTGTGCTGATCAACACTCACATAGTTCATTCATTCTTCATCTAGCTTTTTAACAGAAAACCTGTACAAAGGAATAGGCACAAAGCTTGAGGAAGGATGCAGGATCCTGACATTGCATCCTCAATCTGCTTATCATGGGATACAATCAGGGGCGGACTGACAACTCATGGGGCCCCCGGGCAATAGGGGATCATGGGGCCCCTGTATCTTTGCCCAAATTCAAAAAAGCCTATGAAAAAGGTACCAGGGGCATCTCATGGGGCCCCCTACTGACCCTGAGCCCTCGGGCAGTGCCTGAGTTTCCAAATGGTCAGTCCGCCCCTGGGTACAATGCTTTTCAGTCTCCTGTAAAAAAAAAAAAAAAAAAAACTATAATAAATGCACTTTTTTTTTTTTTGCACATTCATGTACATTTATTATTTTTTTTAAAGTGAACTCATCCTTTAATATAACACTGTCTGTACTTTCTTCCTTATTTCCTTATCACAGCTTTTACTGCAGGCCTCTGCTGTTGGGAAATCATGGTTTAGGGTTGCTGGCATTGTTTTGGCTAGGTATGAGTAGAATAAATTAGGGATGCACGGAAATTTCATTTGCCGAAGCGTTTTGGCCAAAAACACCCCTTTCGGCCGCTGGCCGAAATGAAAAAAGCACTGATACAGGTGCCGAAAAACCCTGCCCCTCACTGCTGCTGCCCAGCCTCCACTCGGTAGTTCTCAGTCTTACCTGAGAAACCATCAATCCCGGCACTGGGCATAGAGATGAGTGAAAGAAAGATGGCTGCCACTCATCTCTATGCCCTTGGAGGACCGGAGCGATGTCACTTCCCATTCCGGCAATTTTTTTCTTAAAACACTAGATTAGTGCTTTTTTTGATCCAATGCTTTACATTGTAGAGGAGAGATTGACCCCTTATCTTTCCATAAAGAGGACCTGTCATTAATTATTTCTATCACAAGGGATGCATGCATTTCTTGTGATAAGAATAAAAGTGATTAAATTTTTTTTAATGGGACAGTGCACAAAATAACATAAAACTATTAACAAAAAATTAAAAAAAAAGTTTAAACTGCACTCGTCCCCCCGTGTTCGCACGTAGTGGTGAACGCATATGTAGGCCATGCCCACATATGCAAACTGTGTTCAAACCACACACATGAGGTATCACCATGAACGTCAGAGCAAGAGCAATAATTCTACTGTAGTACTAGACCTCCTGTGTAACTGTACGCTGCTAACCTGTAGAATTTTTAAAGCATCACCCATGGAGATTTTTAAATACCTCAGTTTCACGCCATTCCATGAGCGTGCGCAATTTTAAAGCGTGACATGTTGGGTATCTATTTACTCGCCGTAACATCCACTTTCATATTTTACAAACAAATTGGTGTATATATTGGGTTTTTTTTTTAATCAGTGTATTTTGTTCCAAAAAATATATATTCATTTTTAAAAACTGCACATTTCAGTTTTGGTTTTCGGCCAAGTGCATTTTGAATTTTTGTTTTCGGCACCAGAATTTTAATGTCAGTGCATCACTAGAATGAATGCAATTCATGTTAGGATTTTAGAAATGTATGCATTTTTTTACCTTCTATTTCTAATGGGAAGACATCTATCTACAGACATATAAAGTATGTGTTAAAGTAGCTGATCTCCTGTAGAGTGATACATTTACTGTAAATTGAACTTGGACTTGCTTTCATCTCATCTTTAATCCCTTAGTGTTAAATGACACGTATCAGTAGAATGTTTTCTTACATTCCTTTCAGGTGAAATGCCTACAGGTGTGATATTGACATGTTGCAGTCACCTAACAATTGTTTGGCGTTAGCGATTTGAGAACACTGCATATGTTTCAATCAATGTCAGACCACCAATAGGGGAAAGGCAATGGCCACATCAATGTAAAAACTAAAAAAAAAATTGTATGTTTTCTCAGTTCCATTTTCTTTAAAGCTAGTATTATATATACTTTTTTTTTTTCTCAATTAAAGTGGATCTAAACCCATCGATTTTAGCGTTTTCTCAAAACAGTTAAATCCAAGGCATGCCTTGTATTTTCCAGTTGACGACTTACTTTGTACAAGTCAAGTCCTCTTGCTCTGCATTATCATTAACCATACTTTGTGCATGTTTATTTTTCTGAAAACAAAAATGACTTCTGGAAAACCAATAAAAATGTATTGAACAAAAAAGTATGCCAGTGTTAACAAGCACATTGTGATAAGTGTTTCTCTTAAACGCAATTAAACTTTCAGTTTAAATTAGCTAAATACATTCCTGGAAAATCAAAACAAGAAAAAGTAAAAAAGACTAGAGCATGGTAAGCCATTAGCTTCTAGTTTTCACTTTAACCACTAGCCTACAGGGCACTTATACCCCCTTCCTGCCCAGGCCAATTTCCAGCTTTCAGCGCTGGCGCACTTTGAATGAGAATTGCGCGGTCATGCAACACTGTACCCATATGACATTTTTATCATTTTTTTGTGACAGAGCTTTATTTTGGTGGTATTAATCATCTCTTGGTTTTTTGTTTTTTCTTAAACAAACCAAAAACCACAGAAAAGTTTGGAAAAAAAAAATGTTTTTTTCTTAGTTTTTGTTATACAATTTTGTAAATAAGTGATTTTTCTCCTTCACTGATGTGCGCTAATGAGGCTGCAGTGATGGGCACTGATAGGCTGCACTGATGGACACTGATAGGTGGCACTGATGGGCACTGATGAGGAGGCACTGGTAGGTGGCACTGATAGGCATTGACAGGCATCATTGATGAAAGGGCACATGGCACTGAAAGGCAGCACTGATACACTGGCACTGATTATGGCACCGATAGTCAGCACTGATAGGCGGCACTGACTGGCACTGTTAGGCGGCACTGACTGGCACTGTTAGGCGGCACTGATAGGCATTGATAGGTGGCACTGGCTGGCACTGATGGGTGACACTGAAAGGCAGCTCAGATGGGCACTGATATGTGGCATTGATGTGCACTGGTCGGCACTGAAATATGGCACTGATGGGCACTGGCACGAGGCACTGATGAGCACTTTTATAAGGCACTGATGGACACTGACAGGTGGCACTGCTGGGGCTACACTGATCATCAGGGCACACTGATCATCAGTGCCCTAATGATCAGTGTACATGTCCCCTCCGCGGAAAGCCGATTACCGGCTCTCCTCTCGAGCTGTCATAGACAATCTGCATTTAGTATTTTTTTAAGAAGGTGAACTTATCCTTGTTTTTGTACTGCTCCCCCTTAAGCTGCAAAGGCGGGGGGGGGGGGGGGGGGGGGATCGGGGTGATTTACAGACTCCCATGAAAAAAAAATAATAAATGCATATTTTTTTTACATGTAGACAATTTCCATTTAGTATTTTTTTAAGAAGGTGAACTTATCCGTTAAGGCTTTGTTTACACATGTGGTTAGGGTGGTAAAAACAGTGAGTACTAGGGTCGTTGGTTTGAATCCCAGCCACGGCACCACCTGCCTGGAGTTTGCATGTCGTCCCTGTGCCTGCGTGGGTTTCCTTCGGGTACTCCGGTTTCCTCCTACACTCCAAAGACATCCTGGTAGGTTAATTGGATCCTGTCTAATTTGGCCCTAGTATGTTTATGTATGAATGTGAGTTAGGGACCTTAGATTGTATGCCCCTTGAAAGTTAGGAACTGATGTGAATGTACAATATGTATGTAAAGTGCTGTGTAAATTGACAGCGCTATATAAGTACCTGAAATAAATAATAAATAGGTGTGTTTTTGTACTGCTCCCCCTTAAGCTGCAAAGGCAGTAGGAATCAGGGTGATGCAGTTTTGTGATCAGGCTAGCAATAACTTAATGGGGCCACACTCAACTATGTCCAATGCACATTATTGTGGCGCAGTAGTAAGGCATTTAGGGGTTAAAACTGGCGGTGAAGCAGTATATCATTGTCTTGAGTTATTACAAAATGATTGCCTTTTAAATAGACCTATATTGAAGAGTGAAAACTGCTGAAGTCCATAAGGGCTATGAAGGTATGAGAGCTGAAGTGGTTAAAAACACCACTAGTTCTATTGGCGTGTCGATATGTGAATTTGACAACAGCAAATACATCTTTCAAGCAGCACACACATGCAAGCACACATCACAGTTTTCATCAATCACGGTGCGTCTTGTGATAGAAGAGCTATTACTGAAAAGTAAACTTGTGCCACCTGCTGACGGAAATAGCCAGCTTGGTTTCTGTGTCCGTTCTTCCTGAGATTGCATACAAATAGCTGCATTTGCGCTTTTTACATTTTTTGCGCATCATTTCTCCCTTGCCCTAGACATAACATGAGAAAGCTTTGAGTTTTGTTGTTTAGATTATTCCTCACTTCATGGCAACATTGAACCACTATGCGCATTTCTGACATATGAATCATTGTATAGAGCTGGATTGCACCGAAAAAAAAAGAAGAAACTAAATTCAAGAACAACATATCACCAGAGTCCGAAACAATAGAGGTCATTTGTATTGTGCATGATGCTGAAGGCTGTGCAATCAGCGGCGTCAGAATCTTTCATTTCCATTTACAACTACTGCAGTTCAATCGAGCAGCAAGGTCACTACTGGCATGCTCAAGGTCCCTGAACATTATCTAGCCCTCCCTCTGTGCAGTCCTGTCTCTGTGATTTATTGTACGCTAACATTTCATATAGCAGAGAGGCATTATTGAAATACAATAAAAATAGGAACTTTTCAATCAACTTATTAGGGGTGCTTAATCAAGGTGGCAGCAAATAGCCCGTAGAATTATTCAGATTTGTCCGATACAAGATAACAAAATAAACAGAAAACATGAACACCATGCATCAACTTTAGGCTCCATGCACACTAGCATTTTTTTAAGCTCCTAGAAGCTGTTATTATCATTTTTTTTTCCAGCGAAATAGTGTTATCCTATGTATCCATGCACACTACATTAGGCTGTTAGCGTTTTTTGAGCTTCAGCATCTAGGAGCGGAAAAAAAATTGTTTTTGTAGAATTTTTTGGAGTGTTTTTCCAGCAGAAAAAAAAATCCTAAACACTGCTAAATGCTACTAAACGCTACTACAATGCTTCGAACTGCTTTTTTTTCCAGCATTTTTTCCAGCATTGTTTCTACATGTACTGTAAAAACACTAATAAAATGCTAACTCTCCTAAACAATACTAAAAAACTCTATTACCAGCATTCTTTTATCTAGCGTTTTTACCAGCACTTTTGAGCTTAAAAAACTGCTAGTGCACATGGAGCCTAAGGCTTCATGTACGCGGGACGTACCTGGAAAACACTTTGCATGCATTTCTGATGATGAAAGAAGGCTCTGGACAGCATCTGGATATGATACAGTTAAAAAACGCTTCTAAACGCAAACGCTTGTAAACGCGGTTAGCCGCGTTTACAATTATTTGGCATTTGAAACGCTGATAAAATCTACTCCTGAACGCAAGTTTGGTGCGTTCAAAAAAATGACTCGACTGCCTGTAAATGACTATGTGTACATGGACACATAGGAAAACATTAGGGAGAGTTCAGGAGCTGCTGAAAAAAAAAAACGCATAAAAGCTTCTGAACGTCAGTTTATTAGCTGCAGTGTACATGAACCCTTATACTTTTTATCTAATACAGATTGTTTCAGATCTGCAACATTGTGATAAAAAAAAGTTTTACCAACTTTATTGCTTAGAGGAGTATTCTTTCCTTTAAGACAGGCATTATCCATTACAGCCAATGAGATGTTTACTATTGCTTTCTAAGGCAGCAGTCCCCAGTGCTGACTTCTGAATATCATGTGACTCTCCGGTAACACTGATGTTGCTCATTGCAGCTTCTACTTGTATATTCAATACTTTTCTATATAGTCATCTTTCTGTAAAATCATCCTCTGTTTTATACACTCTGCAAACCATAACACCAAAAATATCTATTTTAATGGAAAAAGTCTGGCCTGATTGATCAAAATGTCAGTACTTAGACCTATATATCACATTAATGATCCTGTGGCCAGGGCTGTGGATAAGGGGGTACCATCGGTCCTCCTGGCACTGATCCCATTTATGGCTCTCTCTGCAGCAGCTGGAAGCTGGCTTCTTCTCTTCCTTAACTGGCTTTCAGCTGCTGCAGAGAATGCCATACAGGGGACTAATTCCAGAAATCCATCCCCACCCCCGCCATGTGGATCACCCTCACTGTGCACCATACGTTTCACCCTGCTCCCCAGGTCCTCCCCCCCCCGTGTGCCCCCCACCACAACAGTGCTGCCTGGCTTCCCTCCTCTCCTACCCACCAGCAGCTGCAAGCACACAACAGGATCCTTCAGGAGGGAGAGTAGGGGAAGGGTTTGGTAAATGTCACATTTACAAGCTCCTTCCTTTTTTGAATGAACACAATAACTGGTTGGTACCGATCACTCACTGTGTTCCTTCATAACTGAAGCAAAGTAAACTGTGTCTTTTTTTGGGTGGGGAGGCGCCTGCTAGGTTGGCTGTATGGAGCCCTGTGGTCTCTAAAGCAACCCTGCCTGTGACTGGTAATAACCAGTGATAGAATCACTAATTCTCAGTTTGACTTCTACAGTGTTGCTGCAAACCAGGGAGGTGTCACTTTTATGCTTCTCCCACACTAACAATTAAGATTCTTCAGCATGCTGGTTTCCAAGGGACAAACAGCCAGTAGGGAAAGTGGCAGTTGCATTTCAGTGATTTACCAGTATAAGATGGGTCTATAAAAATATTATTGACACAGAGACATCTGCAGTATATAAGAGAATTATTATTAATATACAGGATTTATATAGCGCCAACAGTTTGCTCAGCGCTTTACAATATAAAGGGAGACAATACCGCAACAATACAGTTCAATACAAGAGGGTTAGGAGGACCCTGCTCCTTGGAGCTTACAATCTAAGAGGGAGGGGCTGGAGGTACAAAAGATAATAACTGTGGGGGATGAACTGATAGGAGAAATAAAAGATTTCGTTTTATTATACAGGATTTATATAGCGCCAACAGTTTGCTCAGCGCTTTACAATATAAAGGGAGACAATACAGCAACGATACTGTTCAATACAAGAGGGTTAGGAGGGCCCTGGTCCTTGGAGCTTACAATCTAAGAGGGAGAGGCAGGAGGTACAAAAGGTAATAACTATGGGGATGAACTGATAGGAGAAATAGAAGATTTGGTATTATTATTATTATACAGGATTTATATAGCGCCAACAGTTTTCTCAGCGCTTTACAATATAACGGGAGACAATACAGCAACAATACAGTTCAATACAAGAGGGTTAGGAGGGCCCTGCTCCTTGGAGCTTACAATCTAAGAGGGAGGGGCTAGTGGTATAAGAGGTAATAACTGTGGGGGATCGACTGGTAGGAGGAATAGAAGATTCCATTATTAGCTGAAGGCAGGATAGGCTTCCCTGAAGAGATAGGCTTTCAGAGATCGCCTAAAAGTGAGCATAGTAGGCGATAGTCCGATAAATTGGAATAGAGAGTTCCAGAGGATGGGGAGGCTCTGGAGAAGTCCTGGAGATGAGCATGGGAGGAGGAGACAAGGGAGCTAGAGAGTAGGAGGTTGTGCGAGAAGCGGAGAGTACAGTTTGGGTGATATTTGGAAGTACACTAGGAGCTCGGACATTATCCCCTTATTCTTATATATTGGATTACCAAAGCCTCATGAATGCACTCTTCCTCAGAATCAGAAAGTTAGTGTTTGATTGTCTTTTAGGGTAGTAGTTTATATAAAGATGAACTCCAGGCAGATATAGAAACACTAATGAATCCAGCTCTGATTCTCCTTTACTGACCTGTCACAGACTGTACGAGAGACAAGATATGTAAGTGTTACTTGAATACAGTAGAGAATTATCAGGTCTTCTGTCCTATCAGATAGAGCAGTGCTATGTATACGTGAGGACTGGAAAGACAGAAACACAAATCCTTTGTATCTCTAAGACCCCGTTCACACAAGCGTTCCCACTATGCATTTTTAAAGCTCTATTCTGCATATTGCATAGGGTCGGCCTATTCATTTGAATGGGCTTCCCTACGTGCGTTTAATGCCCGAAAAGA